AAAAAAAAAAAATTAAAAAGTTAAAGTGTTCTTATTATTGTATGATATATGACTGCACATTATCACGCTTCACAATTTAAACCATTATTGCTTATTATCCCGCCTCTTTGTGGTTTAGTAACATTTCCTACGACCGCAGCATTTTTTTACCCGATTAGAAAAGTAATATTATTGTTAGCTTAGCTTGTATAATGGTTACACAATTGTATTTTTCAATAGATTTACCACATTTACACTAATATGTCATTACTTATAAAACATTGTAACATAAATAAAATAAAAATATTATATTTCATTATAGAAATATATATATTTGTTTACAAATTATGACCGACTAACCATTGCTATATTGTATACCTGTAGAACATCACACATTGCTATAAAATAATGAGAAATGTTACGGTCCCGTTACGAAAGCATCTTGTCGGTTGTTTTAACCGTTAGATCATCTATTTTATACTAACTATATATGTATGCAACGGTTATAACTCCAGATGGGATGGTTTCATAACGGGACCGCTATATTTCCCTAAAATAATACATGCTTTGTACGTAGAATATCATGATTATGTTATCACATTAATTATTCACGAAATAATTGGTCTTTTATTTATTTATTTATTTTATCATGTGATCAAAAGTAAAAAAATTCGGTGCAAAGCAGGGCTGACCCTTTCTTTAAACAGAATTGTGCAACATTTTCTTGTGAGCTTTGTGTGAACATAAAACAAACAGAATAATGAATGATTTATCATTCTTTTTTTATGTTGACAATAAAAAATTAGTATTTAATTTTCCCAAGTGGAGCCCACAAATGCTTTCAATTTATATAGTAAATATGTATATAATCCCCATACTTGCTGTTAAGTTTCCATGCTCAGAATCACGTGAAGAGAAAATTAACAAACACGAATCACTTTTTTTTCTTCTCTTTCACTCTTCTAATTAACTTTTTGTCTCTTCCTTCATCATCTACAATTATATATACACATACATTTTCTCCTTTGGTTTTCCTATGAGAAACATGGCTCTCTTAATTTGTGTGTTGTTGCTTTTCTTGTTCCCTTTGAGAAACATTAATGCTCTGCCTCAACCTCCGAATCCTGGCTACCAAGTTAGCACACGATATCCGCCGGTCGATTTCAAGCAATGGTTTAAAAATTTATGGGGTCCTACGAATCAAAGGCTCGACGGCGAAACACTCACTGTGTGGCTTAATCAGAAGTCAGGTATATATTATTTTGAGATGTTACGGTTCTGTTACTGAAACATTCTGTCGAAATTTGTGTTTTCAAATTTTTTTGAGTAAATATTATAATTAATTATTGGGTTACATTACACAGGAAGTGGATTCACATCAAAGCATGCCTACTGGGCCGGTTATCTTTCGGTCGAAATGAAGCTTCAGCAGGGGTACACGGCTGGAGTCGACACGTCTATTTACGTGAGTACCCGTATCGTATCGATTTTTTTTATTGTTCGGCGGACATTGTTAAACATACGGAATATTTTTGATGTTTAATTGTGGTGAAAACATAATAAAAAATGGCAGTTATCGAGCACTAGAGATTACGCGCACGAACATGATGAGCTGGACTTTGAATTTCTGGGGAACGTTGAAGGGAAGCCTTATGTGCTTCAAACCAATGTGCTGACGAAGCAGAGTACTGAGGCAGATGGGTATGCTCAAGGCAGAGAACAGCAATTTAACCTTTGGTTTGACCCTACTGCTGATTTTCACAGATATGCCATTTTATGGAATCCAAAGGAAGTCATGTAAGTCACTCTAATTTTTATTTTTTTATTTTTAATTTTTTTTTATACGATGATTTTTATTTCACAATATGAATTCAAATACTTCTTTGAAGTATATGCAATTTTAAACACACTTATAGTTTAATATTCAAATAATTTTGTTAGTTTTCAATTAAGATTGCTTGATAAATTTAATGTTTGTTTATGACCTAGATAGGATAATTATATTTTTTTTATTTTTTACAATATGATTCAAATACTTATTTTAAAATATATGCAATTCTAAAACATTAGTTTTACTTTAAAAAATTTAATTCTACTTTAAAAAATAGATATAATCATGTGTTCTCTGACATTGGTAGGTTATATGGTCCATGCACTGGACAAGATCCAACCTAAATATTGATCGGAAAAAAAGAAAAACTAAATTCTTGACAGTTATATCCATTTAATTATGCAATATGTAGTTATATCATTTTTATATATAACAAGCCAACATTTATATTAACACTCCCCCATTCACGTTATACCAAATGGGCAAACATTGAATTATAATTACAAAAATGGTCCCAACATAATTTGTGGTTTTTATTGCAATTGGGCTTTTCAAGTTCTACTCACATAACTCAAATTGGGCCTGTTTATGATCTGCAGATTTTTCGTAGATGATGTGCCGATTAGACGGTACCGGAATAAAGCCGGTTACTCATTTTTAACAAAGCCCATGTGGTGTTTTGGTTCCATTTGGGATGCATCATCTTGGGCCACGGACAACGGGTTATACAAAACCAACTACGCATACCAACCATTTTTTGCAGAGTATCGGAATATAGCTATCCACGGCAGCCCCAGCCCTAGCGCCGCCATGACAAGACGCTTCACCGCTTCTCCGGACGGCTTGTTTGGCCTCAGCCCGCAGCAAATGTCGGCCATGCGTTGGGTTCGGAATAATTACATGATTTATAACTATTGCCGGGATAAAACACGTAATCCTTTGGACTCTTCCGAGTGTAGGCGGCTCTGATTTGTGACACAAACATTTCTCTATAGATATTTTTTTTCTTTTTCTTTTTCTTTTTCTTTTTTATTGGCATCTTGAAATATACGCTTGGAATCTAGCATCTCCCTATAAATGTGGAGTTTCCTTGCAAAAGCTCGGCTTTCAGTTTGTGACAATACCATTTGAACTGGCAATCATGTTTTGGTCTAGTATCTATGTTGGCAGTTTATTTATTTGTGCGAGCATAAGTTCCTTTATTTTACATTATAGTAGTATGTTCGATGTGTCAAACAAAAAGATTATATTATCAATTCCTTCTAAAATATAAATAAATAATTCACAGTCTAGACAAAATTGAACTACATGCTGGTAAAAGACTGTAGTACAATTTTGATTCAGTTGATCTTTGACTGATAAGTTACACTAGTACTTTGTGAGTATTGAATGGATCGCGGAGGAGAAGATTATTTGAATAGTGACCAACTAAATAATCTAGAACTCTGTAATTGATGCGTATTCTTAAGCCGTAAGATAATAAACGAGCATATATCTCATCACTTATTTATTTGATTTACCAAAGGGTGATTCTTATTTTATTAGGAAGGCATACTCAGTACTTTGGTAAATAATGATGTTTATATGATGTGCTGTTAAAATTATTTACGATCACTATGTTCTGGTCCGCCATGTTGATGACGTCCTCGAAATAAGCTCAGGAAGAAATATTATGTTAAGGCCCTGCAGGCGAATTGAATTCCAACATAATGATTAAAGAATTGAGTGATACTAATTTCTAATCCTAGAGATAAAATAATAAATCCATTTAATTGTCAGTAATTAAATTAATCAATGAACCTTATATCTTAAATATAGGGATGCTAAATTGATTAATTAAATTAATTAAGTAGTATGTTCAAATTTATTGAATAAATTGGAGTTAAATGGGGAGATAAGTAATATTACCATAGTAGAATATTTTATTATTTATTCAATTAGGAGAAGGTATTAAATTATTTTCTAGAATTCTCCTAAGTAGAAGTATATCTCTTTCAAAAATATTACCATGGTTAGAGGACATGGAAGTCATCTAGAAAGGTAATTAAATTGGAAGGAATTATGTCTTCTAGAAGGGAAAAGAGTTGGAGGATATTAAGTTTAATCCTAATTGAAGAAGCCCTTACTTAGCACCTTCTTAAAGTCCTTAATATAGCCTATAAATACACAAAGTCCCTATCTTTCTAAACATACATGTGTTGGCCGATTTTTGATCTTCATCGAAATAGGAGTATAAGGTCATACATTAGAAGACCTTAAGGTCCAATATTTTTAGCATTTCGGCAAATATGTTGTTATCGAAAAATTATTCTGGCGAATCACACAAAGCCGCCGGATGCCACCGTTCCCAGCTGCACACCGCCGTACGCAACCACCGACAACGCCCGCTCCCAGCCGCGCATAGTCCACGCGACCAGCAGCGACGCCGCGACCTCTAAGCGACACAGTGTTCATGATCGTGCAATGCCCAGGCCCCTAGAATCTCGCGTGCCGTGACACTTCATCTCCCAGGCGACCCGACTGTAATGCCCGATTATTATTTAAGAAAGAATTAAGATTTTTCAAAAATGATTTGAATCTATTTGGAGAACATTTTCTTAAAACTATTATATCGGGCATTACTCGAAAGCTCTTTCCTTTCAAACAAACAAAGCATAATTAAAATTTCCATCTCATTTAAACAACTTAGAAAATATAACAGTGTCTAAGACATTCGTTTAATAATGGTTTTCATAAACAATGAGCAGAAATATAAAAACATACAACTTGCCTCAAAGTTCGTAATTAACAAAAAAAACCATCGATAAACGACCACCCTCGCCAACGCGCCTGGCACCAACTCGATCAACCTGAAGTGTGGAAACAAAATGGGTGAGAATTCCACTTACCCAGTGGAGGAACCATATCGATTCAATATAAACACAGATAGGATAACATTTATAAGAACATTAAAAGCTTATTATCTCACCGCTGACTGATATCATCCCGGCTTCAAGCCTCCAGGTAAATTCGGACTAGTGACTCTTATTTCAAGCCACCATAATTTACCCGACTAATTAACTATTTTACGCCATTAATCTAAGTTCATAAACGTCGGTATGGTTACTTACTAGTGCATTCGGCATCAACTGATCCCGTTAATAAATATCTCTACTAGTGCCATTGGTTTTACCCAGTCCCGCTAGTAGAAAACTTAACTGATAATTACCCGACCTAGTGACTCTTATTTTGAGCCGTCATGGTAAATGTTCGTATCACAAATTCAGGCCAC